ACCTAGCTACAACTAGCACCTACAGAACAAAATTAGAATGCCACTGGAGTTGAGTTTCTGGCTTACAGAGAAATGGGAGAAAAATTTTCAGTTGGGTCTTTAGCTTGCTAGTAGCTAAACTCCTGTCACTGGCAACTTGCTTACTTCAGCATTCTGCTGCTTTGTGCTTGGCAGGTAGCATGTAGTCAATGTGCATGCCAGGCTTAACAATGTATGCAAAAACAGTGAATTAAAGGCAGCACAGGGCTTCAGAGTTGATTGTCAAGGAACAACCAATGGGCCTGCATGTCAGTTGGAGACAGAACAGAAGGGAACCACTGTTAAAAACCCATCAAGTTTCTAATGATTGAAATTTATATTTATAACTCATTAATGCAGCAATATTGGTCACCATTAGGTTAGGTTTTCAGAGAAATTATCCTCTGGGAGGAAGTAATTTTCCTGGAACTTCAAGGTCTCATTTCATGGAGAAGTAATGCTAACTGACTGCTGCAGCAGAGCTCGTCCTCCACTTGTACACACTAATATACAATTAAGTGCCTTTGTGTTTGTAACAATGCAGCTGCTCTTCCTAAAACATATTCAAAACATTGTATGACTGAACCTGAGCTAAATTGCTGCTCTTCCAGTGCAGTAATGCTTATACTCCTGCAAACAGTGGTTAGGAGGAAGTATGTGAGAGCATGATGGAAGGAGGTCATGAATAGTTGAAAACCTTTGCTGTGTAGCCATGGTGAACACTGCTGAGCTGTGAAGGCTGTAGTGTACTCTCTGCTTCTCTCTGGGCTTGTTTTTGTTTTTATTTGAGACAGCCAACAGAGGCTCTTTGACTGGGCAGCCACACTATGATAACCACAACTATTGCTCACTCGCTCACTCACTCACTTTATCACCATTCCTCCAACCACAGCTTAACTTGCAGCAGTGCTTTCACTTGCACAAGACTCAATTCAGGGAAATCCTATGACTTCCATTGGTATACACTGTTTTATCAGTACTTAATATTTCCTTCTAATTCGGGTTAGACTTGTTTATATGTGAACAGCTGATGCCAAAATGATTGATTGATTAATCAGTCGTTCAATTAAATGTTACACATTTGTGAAATGGCACAACAAAGTGTTTTTACCACTTTTGTTTTTTGACAAAAGCTGTTAGTGACTTAATGACCCATATATACATTTTGTTAGAACTGACTGTAGTTAATGCTACTTCACCATTAGAATATACAACTGTGTTTACGATTTCTCTGACATGTTTTGAAGTTGAAAGTTGCCACACATTTTATTAATTCTTTCTTTGTTTTTATTAGGTTCGATACTGGAGACACAGTCGTTGTATGAGATAACTAAATGACAGATTTTTATTACTATGTAGTAAAAATCTTTTACACTAATAAGTACTAATGTTCTGATTGAGCAATCACTTTGACTTTTTACTTGGCTGAGTCCCTAAAATAATTTCTTTCATTTATTGTTGCATTTTTTTTATTGCTGACATCGACTATATTTCTTTTTATATGTATTGTGAAAGGATACTTTTCTATAATTGTCTGTTGTTTTCTGAGTGAGTGAAAACAATCATCTCATGAATATTTTATGAAAAATAAAAGGAATTATTTGATAACTAAATCAGTGTATTTTGCCATTGTGAATATACTTCTGTGTGGACTTGTTTGCCATCACAGCTACTGTACTGTTGTTCATGCTGGAAACAGGTCATTTCAAAATGAAACTGTCGCTCACGGTGTTGATCCAGATGATGTAGGAGCTGAGTTGTATAAAGCGGGCAGTGGGCTTTTGGAAGATGTTGCACCCTGACCAAAGCTGAAGCTCACCTTGCCATGGACATCCAAGAAGCCATCAGAGTATCCTTGTAAGTCAGCACACACATGCACACACTAGCATAATGGCTACCAGTTTTGGTGAAATGTCCTTCTGTATAAGTTGATCTCCTTCCTGCAAGCTTTACTGAGTCTATGTAGCAGATGTCATGGCCACCCACTTGCAGGGGACTGTGCTGCAGGGTATCAGCTGCTGGACTGCTGGACTGTGGGGAGGAAATGCACTTGATTTGGATGAGGAAAACGATTTTAGGGTTTGAAGTCCATCAGAAGGACAACATTAGGTGGGCTGCTGGGTGGATTTTTTTTTGTGCGTCCAGGGAACAGAGTTAGAGTAATTAGAACATCCATCCATCCATCCATCCATTTTCCCCCGCTTATCCGGGACTGGGTCGCGGGGGCAGCAGTCTAAGCAAAGATGCCCAGAATTCCCGCTCTCCAGACACTTCCTCCAGTTCCTCCGGGGGAATGCCAAGGCGTTCCCAGGCCAGTCGAGAGACATAGTCCCTCCAGCATGTCCTGGGTCTTCCCCGGGGCCTCCTCCCGGTGGGACATGCCCGGAACACCTCCCTAGGAAGGCGCCCAGGAGGCATCCGAAACAGATGCCCGAGCCACCTCAGCTGGCTCCTCTCGATGTGGAGGAGCAGCGGTTCTACTCTGAGCTCCTCCCGGGTGACCGAACTCCTCACCCTATCTCTAAGGGTGCGCCCGGGCCGCCCTGCGGAGAAAGCTCATTTCGGCCGCCTGTATCCGGGATCTTGCCCTTTCGGTCATGACCCAAAGTTCATGACATGCATTACCAAAACTAATGGCATCCCAAGTCGACTGGATTGTAATTGTTATAGAGTTACTGTTTTCAAATCTCTGTTAATTAGAGACTGTTTTGTGACTCTAGTGATAGCTGCTCCTATCATCAGGGGCAGAAAGTAACCATGTAATTAAGTACATGTACAAGAAAAATTGAAACAGACAAAATTAAGTTAAGTAATTAAGTACACTATCGATGTACTTTTACTTTACTTGAGTATTTCCATATTTTACTACATTATGCATACTTCTACCCCGCTATAGTATTTCAGAGGAAAATATTGTGCTTTTTAGTCCAATATATTTGACAGGTTCTATTCTACTATTAGTTTTTATATTCAGATTAAAGTTATAAATTTAAAGGCACTAGCTTAGAAACCACTGGACTAAACTCCTGAACTGTATATAAGGTAGTTACAGTGCCTTGCGAAAGTATTCGGCCCCCTTGCACTTTGCGACCTTTTGCCACATTTCAGGCTTCAAACATAAAGATATAAAACTGTAATTTTTTGTGAAGAATCAACAACAAGTGGGACACAATCATGAAGTAGAACGAAATTTATTGGATATTTCAAACGTTTTTAACAAATAAAAAACTGAAAAATTGGCCGTGCAAAATTATTCAGCCCCCTTAAGTTAATACTTTGTAGCGGCCAACACAAACTAGACTTTTTCAGTAATTTGTTGCTTTGCTTTCCTTCATCAAAAGGACCTAAACAATTGTTAACCTCAGCTCGAAAATGATTTTCAGAACTCAAAGATCTCCGGTACAGCCTAACACTAAACAATTCCTCATGATCTGCCTCTGCAGGGGTACTAATGCCATCGGAGCCACACTGTATAAAACAAATACATGAAACGATCGATTTAATTCATGTAGACTGATGAATGCACTTTTGACTGTTTTGGCATTTTGTGATGTGACTTTGTGGTGTTGGGTGCCTTTAATCCTTGTGTATTTCATCTCACTCCAACAGTGTGTGAATACATTTTATATACTTCTGTTTGCAGGAGTGTGTGTGTGTGACAGACAAATAACATATGTACAATAGGTCAGAACAAAACTATCTGCCCAGTTAATGTAATTGTAATATGATCGTTAAATTGGCTCATGGATAGATGTTAAAACGAACCACCCTGTTGTTTATCTGTATTCAATGGCCCGTGAGTCAAAATTCACACCTAAAGTCATTCAAATGAATCATCATTAGCGTGGAAGGAAAATACTTAAACAAGTCTCACTCATCCACTAACATGAATTAGCGAATTGCGTGTTTGCTTAACTGCAACTAACAAAACGAGGATGTAGGTAAATATTGAAATTCCCTTCGATTGGTGGCCAGTCTGTAAAGCACCGGGTGAGCAGGCGCTCCCTATTGATGAGCTTCAGCTAATCCATCGCATTTCCCTGTAAATAGCTTTCTGCATGAGAAAGAGACCCCCCCCCCCCCCCCTTAGAATGGCCAAGTCAAAGTCCAGACCTGAATCCAATCGAGAATCTGTGGAAAGAACTGAAAACTGCTGTTCACAAACGCTCTCTATCCAACCTCACTGAGCTCGAGCTGTTTTGCAAGGCGGAATGGGCAAAAATTTCAGTCTCTTGATGTGCAAAACTGATAGAGACATACCCCAAGTGACTTACAGCTGTAATCGCAGCAAAAGGTGGCGCTACAAAGTATTAACTTAAGGGGGCTGAATAATTTTGCACGGCCAATTTTTCAGTTTTTTATTTGTTAAAAACGTTTGAAATATCCAATAAATTTCGTTCCACTTCATGATTGTGTCCCACTTGTTGTTGATTCTTCACAAAAAATTACAGTTTTATATCTTTATGTTTGAAGCCTGAAATGTGGCAAAAGGTCGCAAAGTTCAAGGGGGCCGAATACTTTCGCAAGGCACTGTAAAAGTAGCTCTGGCTCAAGCAGCTACAACAGTAAAATACTACATGTACATGGTGAATCAGGAGAATCGTTGTAATGGTACTTTTGATCAGATAAAGCTGAATTTATAACTGTGAATAGCAGAACTTCACACCGTGGGACTGGGCAGCTGCATTATGATAACCACAACTATTGCTCACTCGCTCACTTTATTATTAGTACTTTTTACAAGACTATTCATCTGGATTATACAGGGTGGGTGAAAAGTAACTAGGCATAAAAAATTGGCTGTAGAACTTGTAGTATCACTAGAGTCACAAAACGGTTTATCATACTTTATAGATTGTGTACATTTCCTACATATTCAGGAAGGTTTAGCTTATTTGCTTATTATGGGGAAACTGCTGACTTGTTGTTTGGTACCAAATATGATACAAACACTTAAAATGATAGCTTATATATTCTTTTTATTTCATTTAGAGTTGCATATTTATTTTATGCACACACACGATGTTGATCCAAACAGATAGTCGTCTCAATAGGCTACCATTGTCTGTTGAAGAGATGATAGAAACATGTTAGATTTAGTGCAGCATACTGTTTTCAGCAATATCATTTAGAATGATTTATTCATTTTCATCAAGCATATCCAGATGTTTTTGGCAAATTTTTGAAACCTGAAAGAAATAAAATAAATAAAAGAAAAGTTACAGTTTTACAGTGAGTTAAGCCTCTAAAGTCAGTCAGTGAGAGAACTTGAGGAGCTTACAGAGCCAATCCAGTCGACGTAGGACGTAACTCGGGTGAAGACAGTGGGCTTCTTGGGGAAGTTGCAGCTCAGGCCGGAGCCAAAGCTGACAATGCCATGAACCTCCCAGGCACCATCAGCGTTCTGGCAGTTCAGAGGGCCACCAGAGTCTCCCTGAACCATGCGAGACAAAACATATGATCAGTGTGCAAATTCCACATTTAAGTCTTTTTTTGTTCTTGAAAAACAATTACTTTTGATATCTTACAGACATTCCTATACATTTTGTAGACCTTTTAATTGCCACTCTACTCTGTTATTCGCTGAAAAATATAACAAGCTGACAAATCAAGTAGTTGTCAGATTTCTGACAGAGTAGTTTTTATGAAGAAAAACATGTTGCATCTGGAGTAGAATCTCAATTAAAAGACTAAAATGTACAGAAACAGAGGATTTAAATGTTTAACAGTTATTGCCATTATTGCTCAATCTGTATTGTATGCTCAATTTAATCATTTGGTCCATAGTATGTCAGAAAAAAGTAAAATAAATATTTTTTTTTTAAAGAACATATTTAAAGTCCAAAAGCCTAAGTTAACATATTCTTGTATCCCTAAATTGTTTTATCTGACCAACAGTCCAAAGCCCAAAGAGGTTTATTTTAAAATCAAAGAAAAGCAAGAATATCAGGTTGTATTTACATTTTCTGACTTGTGTTCAAAATTGGAGTGAAAGGTAAATGTGCCTTTTTTTCCATAGTAAGTACAGAGGAAAGACTTAACAAACAAATCTTGTGCTGATCCTCTATGCAGACCTACAGGTAAAGGAAATGAGTGTAGCTTGTTTTGTTCAGTTCACGTCACAAAGCATTGGTGCTAAAGTATAGTGTGTCATTTTATACAGTATTATAATTGTGTTGTTCATTATTTCAGACTCACATTGCAACCAGACACAACTCCATCTCCACCTGCACAGACCATGGTTTCCTTCACCTGAGAACCCCACCAGTCAGGCAATGTGCAGGTAGCATGGTCCACCACAGGCAGGAGAGCTTGCTGCAGGATGTCAGCGATGGGACCTCCAGCTGTATTGAGGAGAGATGCATACAAACACAGGTTCAGCTAATGTAAAAAGACTGGTGAAAAAGATAAGCTCGCTCTAAGAGGGCAAGTGTTTTATCTCTATAGCTTGGAGTGTAATTAGATGACGCTGTCCATCCATCCTTTTAAGTTAACTGCAACAGTAGTCTGTTTCCTGTCTGGTGGTTTTAATGCAGCGATTTATTTCATGGATTTTATTATTGCTCTAATTTGACAGGGTACCCTGGTGACCCAGGACTTAAAAAACCACCCTGTTTCTAGTGCAGTTGGGGACTTTTGTTGCATGCTTCTCCCCTCATTTCCTATTGTTTCTTAACTGTCCACTCACTTTTCATGCGACCCCATCCAGTGACATAGCAGGGCTCATCATGGGGGAGGATGAAGCCAGCTTCAGGGACACAAGCAGCCATGATGGTGTCAGAGAAAGTGACAGGGGACTCCAGCTTGATCAGAGCAATGTCATTGCTAGAAAGAAAACATACATTTAGATTTAGAGCTGCAGCTGTTATTGCTTGTAATGTTTTGTAAAGTGATCTTTTTGATTGTCTTTGCAGTCTTGTTTGTAGTCTTGCAATTCATAGTGAATAGTAATTCTATTTTTATTTTAGTTTTTTACCGAATGAAGAAGGAATTCCACTTCTCATGCACAATGATGTTAGCAGTACCCATGAACACAGCACCCTCCTCTGTCTCTATGAGGTTGTGCTTTCCCATGGCCACTCTGTACTCCTTGCCACTGCTGCAAGTTCACAGACAGAAGAATATGAAGCTGTAATGTATTAGCTCAAAGATCCTTTTCAAAGACTGTACTGTAGAAGCATTTGTACAGTAAACAGAGAGCCCAGCCATTTATCAGCAATGAAAATGAGTAAGAATGTATGGTTCTACAAAAAATGTTCAATCTATTGTTGAGTTCTAGAAAAGCTTGTCTTAAAAAAAAAAAAAGCAAAGCGATACACTAGTGGTTTGATATCATTTACCCATCAGTTTACAATACTGATTAAATACAATCCATGTCACTGATTGCTAATACAGATACTGTGTCAGTGTCAGCATGGGGTTGTAATATGGTATCATGAGCTTCTCTGTTTCATACCTGATGCAGTGAGCAGCAGTGAGGACCCACTGGTCAGAGATCAGAGTACCTCCACAGGTGTGTCTCCACTCACCCTCTCTGTTGTACTGCAGAGAAATCTGAAACATATGCACGGTAGGAACACAATCACTCATCCAAAAGTAGATGCATCCTATTTAAGTGTCTCTTTCCAGGACTGAATGCATCCTGATATTAGCAACTCCCAAATCAGAATTATAAGCTCTCCTGTTTTGCTCCTTTAAATATTTTCTCTACTAGTTTTATTTCCCTTATTGATTTTGTGGCAACTTACTGCACTGTAGCCACACTCTGATTTCAGCACCATACACTATTTTTGGTTAACTGTATTTTATTTGATCTTTTTTACAGTATACATTTTATTCTGATTTGACTAATATAATTAATTTGACTAAAATGTCTTTTTCTAAAAGTGGATATCTTGAGTGAAACTCCTCTCTCAGCATGTTTTACCTGCCAGGGCCAGCTATTAGGTCTGGCATCCTCTCCTCCAACCACCCTGGTGACCACAGGGGTGAAGGTGGGCACGCCGCACCCGTAAGCTGAAAAGACAAACCGAGACTTTTAAATAACGAACAG